AGTATTCAAGTGAGAGTAGCCAGTGTCCTGAATTGGGTCCCTGCACTGTCTTGTAGGCTTTCGATCTGGAAGTTACTCACTGGAAGAGTGTGAGAAGGCATAGAGCATCTATTCAGTTCAAATTCAGCCAAAGAATTTGTTTTCCAGTTGGTTCAAATTTGACATGGAGGAGAAAAAAAAAAGGCAGAAAAAGCAAGGAGATAGTGGAAAAAGGAAAAAAAATATAAATACATAAATTATACCATTCCGTCTCAAGAGCTGATGTGCTGTTGAAGCAACACATGGTTTTCAAAAACTAATTAGACAGATTGAAAATATTTACCAGGAACTACTGAGAAGAACTCAGTGCTTCTCTTCAATGACAGTTGTGTATCAAAAGCAACATTTTAATTTTAGTCCCTGTCCAGGTACCATATAAAAGAAACATCAAAATAACAAAAAACCTACACCAAGACTCCAAACAAAACAACAAAAAGTCCTATAGGTCCCTATACATGGGAGACAAGTTTGGGATTTTCCACTATTTCATAACACTAAACAACTGATCTATTTTTTTCCTCGGCATCCCAAAATACTTGCACAAAAGTCTGAGTAATGTACAGCTGCAAACACAGTTTGAGAGAAATCTTTACACAGTTCCAAACTCTCCAATCACTAACATTTCTTTTAGTATTTTGAGTCTTTTTCCTTATGAAAACAAGCTCTGAAAAGAGAAAAACTCAAACAGAAAAAACTCAGATTAAATTTATAAGTCAACTCAAGGTAATGTACATATTTTCACTGAAAAGCACCTGCCGCAGGGTATCTTGTTGCAAGGTGGGCATTGATGCATCCTTGCATTCAGAAGTAGCTCCTACCATGGCCCCAGCAAGGATCAGCACTGAGGCAGGGAAAAAGTAGGCCTGATGTAGCTTTTCAAATTGATGCTGCTTGTGGAGAGGAACAAACAGCTCACCTCCAACTGAGGGGCTGACTCTCGTCATTTATTCATGGCCAGCCCCCCGCCTAGATGGAAATAAAAATGTTTCAAAGATGACTGTGTGGGGGAGCTGGAGGACAGCTTGGAGGCACACTGAGGTTAGCACATTAATTTTTTATCTCTGGGGACTGGGTATCCAATTATGCTTAGAGTACGCAAACAACTTTGGCTGGTCCCTCCAGCAGAGATTTATCCACATAATAAAATCTGTGATGGAACTGGGCACAACAGGCTGATGCCACAAAATAATGCACACAGATGGTTTTGCAGGTCAGATGCTCAAGCTAACAGAGGGGCAGAAGGGCACAGGACTGCATTTTCATTAACTACATGTATTGCAGGATGGACCAAACTGCACTCGGCAGCAAGGCCAGCAACAGCCTGCACAATGTACTTTATTTAGGACTGTCTTATACTTGTTGTTGTTTACTGCACAGCTGCCTGCAACCAACGTTTCACATAGCAAAATGCCACTGAAAACTCTTCCCCTTCAAAGGAAAGGAAGTTTTTCTCCATGTAGACACACTATCCTCTTCTCCCAGGAATTAAGGAAGAGCATTTATACTAGTATGCTCATTCACGGACACATTTGAATAGATAGAAGTCTAATGTAATTCCTTTATCAGAATTGTCTCAAAATTTGTGAGCATCAGCTGCCCCCAGAGCTGGCCTGTACCCATGGAGTGAGATGGAATAAAAGAGCAGATGTTTTGTGGCAGGCTTGGATGCACCCTGAGCTCACAAATCTCATGCTCTCAGTGCCAACATGTAGAGGAAAAGTCAGCAGAGAAAAAGTCTGAGAATGGTATGGGATCATTTATTTTTATCAGTGGAGTTGAGGAAGGAGGAAGTTGACTTTTTTAAGAGTTTTATATAATTCCCTTTTTACAGTTCCATACTCAGGTAAAAACATCAGAGAGTAGGTCAAAAATAAATGCTTGTGTAGGCAGAGGCACGACTAGACACTAAGGAAGGGCTATTTATCTGTGTCAAAGGGCTAGATAAAGCATACAAACAAAGCAATTAAAGCTCAAACAAGGCTCAGACTAAGGTGTTTTAGGAAAGACAAAGGCCACAGAAAAGGGCTGAACTGTCTTCAGGTTGCAGTGGGTAACCTAGTGGTGAGGAAGAAGGACAGAAAGAGAGAGAGATGTAAAGAGAGGTAAATAAACAAACCTTCTACAACAGTCAAGGACAGTGAGATGTGCCAAGGAGGTGACTTGGGTGTTCTTAGATACATACCTATTCAGTGATTTTAAGTAGGTTCCTCCTATCTACATCTCTTTTCCAATCTCTAGATAATTTTCTGACCTACTCAAATTGGTCTGTGCATGAGAAGATGAGAAAGGACTGAGTGTCCAGAAAGACAAGAGGCTTTCAGCTCTTGAGCTGGTACCATGAAGGGCATCAATAGCTGAATCGTGCAGAAGCTCTGCTCCCTCCTGCATCACGACAGCTGCTGTTACCACAGGATCTGCAAGGAGTGGAAGCTGGAGAGAAGTCGCTGGTACAAAGGAAGGAAGTTTATGCTGCAGCTGCCCGCCTGAACTTTACTGACCCAGTGCTCACCTCCTACTGCATGGTAAATTTCAAATGGCTGGTTTGAATTTCCCTTGCCTTTTCTAAATCAGGCTGTTCATATCTCTGACACACTGTTAAGCAAATAACCAGGTCCTACTCTATACCATATCTCTGGTCCTCCTGTACAATGGGTTGTGGATTAGCTGTTTGGATTAACATCCCCCCACCTTCCCTCCCTCTTGGCCCCCCCTCAAGCCCCAAGCCCATGCAGAGAGGACTCTTGAAGCTCGAAACCTACAATGCTGCAGACCTGTCAAATCTAATTCATAACACATGCCTAGCAGTTCTTAGGGGAGAGGAAAGATCTGATGCCCTGGCTCCCCACCATCCCCCTGTATGAAGGGACCGTAAATGACGCAAATTAGCGATGTGGACAATTAGCATTCATATGGAAGATAAACAGAAACATAAATTAAATATCGCTCAGTGAAAGAGCAAAGATGCAAGATCTGAGCTTAAGGCTGTAAACAAACAGGCAAAAAGGAACAACCCCTGTTACAGCTAAGCCATGTGGGAGTGTTACCTTCCAGCATCTGAGAATTTCCCCAGGGCTGATCTGCAAGTTTGCATGGCTGTTGCCCATACCTCACTGGCTCCCAGCTCGTTGTTAAGCAGACTCTTTCCACTCAGGAATCTGGGCTTCAGAGTAGTTTACCCCAATGGCTCTAAACTTCTTCCTGTTTGTGGATCTGTGCATCAGCAGCTTCCCTCCGCCACATGTACCACACAAAAGCTCTGGGGGAACACAAACCTGAGCAGCTCTTGCTCTATCCTTTCCCACAGTGTAGACGCCTCTTTTTTTCCATGGGTCAAAGCCAACTGCTCCTAACCTTACCATAGCTTTTCTAGCTCTTCTTGCTAACTTCTATAATTTCCTAAGCACCAGAGACACAAGGACCAAGACTGTCCTTGGCATCTATGACAAGCTGAGGTGTGGGGGTCATTACCGTTCTTTGTTTGGGCATCCATGCAAGGCCATTATCAATATTAATTCAATACAGATTTGCAATATGCCTCTCAGATACGCAAATATTACTGACTATTGCAGGCACAGGAAAAAACAAACAAACAATCAAAAAACCCCAGAGCTGATGTAAATGCTAAGTAAACAAATGCTACTGGCTGAACACTGACATTCCCCAGCCTGCCTAAGCAGTCACTCTTAGTGCATTGACAGTTCAAGTTTATCAACAGCTGGAGGAGTCAAAATTACTTTTGCTGTGAATCTACAAAACATGTGAATAACTAAAAGGTAGAGCATAAAAGTGACAGAAACATAGGGATTGCCAAGTGGCATCATACTAAATAGTCCTTCAAGCTCAAACAGTGGCTAGTAGCAGATGCTTTGGAGAAAGGAAACCCCCTCCCACACCTCCCTGGGGACAATTATCAATTATCCTGCTTAGAAAGAAAATATTTTCCTACTTCCATATTTCTTGTAGTTCTTCTTAACGTATTAGAAACTGTTTCCCCGAATATTTTTCCCTATAAGCATTTCATTGCTTTACTACTTTGAACTAAAATGATACAGATCACGTGCTTTTGAAAGTGAACAAAGCTACCTACACAACTCCCAAGGTGACAGCAAACATCACAAAGCATTGCACACTGGCAAACTGAGAAACAGGGGATTAGAGACTTGGAAAAATCAGTAATAGAACATAGTCTCCTTGACTTCCTGTTCCTTGCCTAAGAAGCACAGGAAGGACAGTCAAATAGGGTGATGGACCTTATGCTCACATCGAGCATATGCGATTCATCATATATAAATTCGGTCCACTAAGATTCCTTTCAGCCTTGTACCAGTGTGGGGAATTGAGGCGCATTAACTCTTCTCTCATGTTCCAGCTCTCCTCCTTGCTGATCAATACTGATATGGTTTCACAGATTTTCCCAAACTGTAACTAGGAAGCAGCTTCTGGTGAAGTTGAGGGTAAGCTGTTTGGGGAGCAGATGAAGGAATAAGGGACAAAGGTGCTATTAGTTTCATACCTAAAATCTGAGACATTGGCAAATGTCTCTTATTCAAAGGCAAAACAAAGTCAACCCCCTCAAACTATTGGATGTGTATTTCCTTGACAACCCTGCTAAGAGCCACTGGGAGGCTGCTTGTTGATGGGCAGGTTGGGCATCTCTTCCCCCCCCCCCCCTCCCCCCCCCCCCCCCCCCCCCCCCCTCCCCCCCCCCACCCCTTGCCACTTCCTTCCCAGAGGAGCAGTAATGGGAAAGTGACTTGCTGCAGAGATAATGCTGGGTTTGAAATGAATTTCTGACTGCTGAGCCAGCACCCATGTGAGTTGTGGCTGATTAGCTCCAAGCATCCAGGTCCCAATCACTCACAATTGAGCCAGGCAATAATGCCAGCCTCTGCAAGGCAAAGACAGGGTAGAGGCAACATACCTGAAAAGGATCTCAAAGGTAAAGGGAAAATCCTACTCACGTTTGTGGTTTTCATTTCTGTGGACAGGGGAAGAGCGGGTCTCCTGCTCACGGGCTTCATCACCCTCTTCGCTGGCGAGGTGGGTGTGAGCATAGTGGTAGCTCAGCCCAGGCCTGTTCTTGTAGCGCTTGCCACAGACTGGGAGGAAAGGAGATATGAGGGAGGGGAAGACAAAATGGAAACATCAGTATGATCCACAACCATAGCAGCATCCTCTCAAATAATGCTCCCTTTTCCTCTGAGAACAGCACCACACACTCCATGCACCTGCCCAAAACTCTTCCCACCAGCACTGGTGGAAGATGACAGAGGGCAGCTCTGCAGCCATGGGTCCCTGGACAAGCTTTCTTCCCACCTTGTTGCCAGCAGTTCATTCTTACAGGCCTAGGCAAATGCACATTCAATCCCTGCAGCTCATACAGCCCTAATCCTCTCTGCTAAGATTACTAACAAGACTGCACATAAAATTTAATGAAATGCCAGTTCCAATGTTGGTGCTTCACAATGCACAGCAATGGGAACAAGACTGAGAAGAAAGGACATTATTTTCTTCATTACTGATCTCTGAAAAAGAAGGAAACTGAGTTTTTTAAAAACTTTCTCTAAAAGGTTAATAAATAGCTTTATTCAGATTCCTAGTCAAGATAAGGAGATGGAAATCATTCACAGTTTCTTGCTAAAGGAACATGTGGTAGTGATACTTCTTTGCCCAGGTAAACTTCATATTCAGCATCTCAATAAATAATACAATATGTGACAGAGAATCCTACTTCTGAACTTTTGTTTATTGTAGGACTAAGTCAACAGATATTAAGAACAGGATCAAACAACTCAGGGTGATGAAAGGTCTACATTTTCACAGGGAATTCACCTCAAGGGCAAGCTACATCTTAAGATTCATTACATACAAACTGAGTTTCTATGAAGTATTTAATTCATGTTATTTTCTCTAAGAGTTATCACTTTTCATCTCCAAAGCATTCTCCGAATGTCCATTTTCTTTTATACAGCTGTTTTGTCTACCAAATACAATTATTGCCATTTTAAATGATTGGAAAATGAAGCTTAGTGCCCTTTCTGCAAGTTTTTACTCCTAGTCACATTTTCAGTCATGTTACTACCTTCATTAACCTCAAGGATTTCGCACAGGAGTGAATGTCCTGTCCAGTAGTCTGTCCTGCATAATTTGCTTAGAAGGTCAAAGGAAGTAGTGTCAGAAGAGAAAACAGAATCATTTTGGTTTTAGGCCCTTTGAAAAGAATCTCCAAGGGGAAAGGCACCATCCATTCCTAAAAACTTCATTCAGCCCCAGTATTGAAACCTGGGTCTGGGAAGGTCTGTGAAGGAACGTCAAAAGGCTCCACAAATAAATTAAAAAAAAAAAATACCCACCTCAATTATTCACTCACATGTAAGTTAAAATTTGATTTTTATACCTTTCTGCTACTACTGACAAAAAGCCAACTGATGCTCCACATTCTGGAACAGATTATAGAAAATTGTAAATCAAAGCTTAGTACAATAACATATTTCATTCTCAGTATCTTCTAGCTGATTTGCAAAATCCCTCAGGGAAAACAGTTTGCCTTATTAGAAACATGTAAAACAACCTCATGATATGTATGAATATCTGGAATATTAGATACTTTTATCCCAGTTTTCTTCATTCTGCAAGGCGATGATCACACAGTGGTCATAACAGGACAAAAGTTTTTTTCAGATGTAATATGTCCTTAGCCACAGATTTTTTGTCTTTGAATGCCTTTGATTTTAGAAACGAGAACTCCTGCAGAAGGGAGGAGGGAATGTTGAGCAGAAGTAAAATACCCATATACATATGCACATCCATTCTTTGAAGCATCTGCCCTTGTTTCATATGTAAACCTAACTCTACTACCCAGCATTTTGAACAACTAGACTGCTGTTAGATGCATGCTTTCCTGAAAACATTAATTCAGTCTCCCTTCTCCTACCACCATCCATGTTTTCTCCTAATGCATTCCGGAGAGTGAAACTACTCCTCCTTCTCTGTGGTCCTACAAGCAGTGGAACAGATCTTGACCAAGAGTCAAAACAAGATAGCCACAGTTCTGTATGACTTCGTCTCCATTTTTTGAATAGTGGAAAAAGCTTAACACTACAGTAATCATCAAACGGGAGAGAGCTACAAAGTGCTAACTGTTTAAATTATTTCAGACCAGTAACCTCCTCTAATTACATAAATGTTGCAGCATTTCTTAAAATGGAGAGAGATATTTACATTTTTAGCAGATTGAGGATCATATTAAGTATCCTACTCTATTCCCCTTACTTTTGTGTGTTTGAAGAAGAAAGTTAAAAAATTATTCTATTGCTATGAATTACCAATACTGTTCAAACACTTCTGTCAAATTATTTCCAGAACACTATCAGGTGATCAGTGCTATACTGACAATGGAAGAGGCACTTGCAATTAAATATCTGCATGATACATACTATCCAACTCTATCTTGCTCTTATATAGCTTGATCCTCCGTTAATGCTAGTGTAAGTGCAAAATCAGATAACTCTAACACCCAGTCCCATTCACCTATTAGAGAGAGTTTCAAACCAAAGATATTTCTAAAAGCCCTGCCAAACTTAATTTCATTCAACTCTACTTGAAAATATATGACCTGATGTGAATGCCATCTTAGGAACAAGATGGGTAAGTAAGCAATAATACAGCAGTGTGGATCAAATGCCACAAATGGGGAAGAGGGAGAGATTTTATTAGGCCACCAGACACTCTCCTATGATTAACATTACTTTCCTTCCAACTTGAAGACTGAAATGAAGATATTATACAACTGTGTTATAGACAAAAAACATAATTTGCAGACAGTATAATCACAAGCATTGCGTGTTTCATAAAAGACAGTTCTCTTCTAAGTTCTGGCCTGTAACAGTCTGCAATTCTTTGGATAAGCAAATTCCTACTCTGTTTACGTTTCTCAGTAAGTAAAATTATTATAAAATATACTTCCCCTGTTAAAAAGGGGATTTGAAACCTATGACTTAAAAGACTTTCTCATCAAATATCTAATGGCTATGTTGCTGTCATTTTGAAATTGTTACACATTTGGTCTTTGGCAGCCTGTGAGCTATGTTCCAGCCAGCTCTCCACATACATTTTGCACAATCTGTCACCAGTATGAGACAGAAGGAAACAATCCATGTTTTTAGTGGAAACAGGAAACTGGGGGAGTACATGCTGCCTTTTTTTTCTTTTTGGTCACTGAATCCTGTCCCCCTCATTGTCTTTCTTTGGTTTTCTCTTTTGCCTCCCGTTCTTTTTTCTCAGCTGGGCTTTATCAAATACTAAATCTTGAGTTAACTGCTGGCAGGCAGTCATTCTTCAAAGTTATCTTCCTATCCTACCATTCACTCTACTCCAAAAAAGAAAAAAATATTAGAAACATTTCTTGTTTTGTCCTGGTTTGGTAATATGTTCTCCCCTGTTACAGCTGTGTCCACGCTCTGGCAATCTAGAGATCTCATACACTAACAGTACATTTTGACCTCTACTGATGGAAAGGTGTTATGTTTGTCCCTCTCTGGTCAGTACTATGCTATACATCCCTAGTATTAGAGCAGTTATTTAGTAATCCATTTTATAGAGAATTTTCTGTAGGTAGTAAACAGTCCTTGTTTCAGTGCCCCCAGAGGACAAGTCCCAGAATCTATCTGCAGAATTAAGATCAAAGTAATGTTGAACCCCAGTGCAAAACATGCACAGGTCAACAATACATCTGTGCACATTTCAATAAATGGATTGCTATCAGAAGCAAAGGAGAAAACAAGTATCCTATATGAGAAGAAAATGTTCAGCTATCAGTCAACTCTGTTCCCCTCTTACCATGTGCTCTACTCAGGATCTGTGTTATTCAATATTTTTTAAAGAAAATTTAGAAAGTGTCCTTGTCTCTCTAATTTTGTCTTTTCTACCAATAATGAAGTCGATGGAAACCAAGAATAGCAGCTATGGTGGGAGAGTTATTTGTTGGGTTCTTCTGAACAGTAATCTTATTCTAGATCTTATTGCTTAACTACTTAGGGATTCGCTAGAGAGGATAATACCAGGAGATGATTTAGGGCTTAAACTGCTAATAGTTTAAAGGGAAGTTGAAGTCATGATGGAGATTATGAGAAGCATGTAAAAATACAATGCTATAATAAAGGCACTTTCAAATCAGCTTGAAATTGTGAAATTTAACCAAAGGTCTGTCCTAAGCAGCTGCACTTAGTAGTGTTGGAATCATTCACAGTATCTGTAAGAATTAAGACAACAGATTAAGTGTCAGACAACTAGTAAAAATCAAGCTAAATCAGGATTTATCTGGTAGGCCTTTTGCATTCCAGAAAACCTTCCAGATAATCAATGACATGTTTGACAGGATCAGGACCATTTCAAGGAGATGACAAAGAAGACAGGTGAAGTTAGCAAGGAATATACTAGAGCTGTCATTTTTTGAACAAATACAATAAAATAGATCCTAAAGATTAGGCCTCAAGGAATTGAATTTGGCAAGTCATGCAAGAACAATGTAACATTTAACTGGGATTTTCTAAGGAAAATAAAAAAGAGGGATGCTCTGTACCAATTGAAACTCAGTGGAATCTGTTCATGTTAAATCACTTAAGTTACCTGAAGACTTCAGCCTTTTGTTGGCAGAACCTAAAATATGTTTAGTAGAGAAAGGGGATGGGGAAGAAAAAGACTAAATAATGACATTTTCATGCCCCGTTGAATGATGAACCTACAGAAAAAGCAGGAGGATGTTTCAAGCTATAGTGATTTGGATGTAGAGTCAAGCATTTTTAAAAACAAATCCATGTTCTGAATAATTATTAGTAATTCAATGACAAGTTCAAAGTGTTCATTTAGGGACCAAGCCTTAGATGATCTATAGGCACAACACAAGCAGATAGGCACTTAGTGGGTTATTTAGGGAAAACAGTTTAGTTTTACCTCCAGCTGAAATCAGGGAGAATTAGGAGCTCAATTTTTTGAAACCTTCACAAGGCACCTTAATACATCTTCAAGCACCTGAAAGAGTCCTGTTTGGACCCAATGCTTGCCTATGGTTTTATCATTAATATGAAGGGTGGAATAGAGAGTGAAAGAATCAAACATGCACAGAATGGATTGTTGGCCAAAATACTGGAATAATAATAAAAATATATTATATGAGATTCGTTGATCAAATAATTCTTTCAAACAGTAATTTAATTAATATTGACACCTAGTATCAATATATAAAACACAGTATAAACAGGACAAAGCAGCATTATGAGGAGACTTAACATGATAATCTGCCTGAGTAGAAACAGGTTGAACAGGGAAGGAACAAGAAGCTATAACAAATGGTATATTAAATATGAATACACATGGTGGATAAGGATGAAAACTCCTTTGCCATTGAAACATGACACAGCACTGGAGAGGAGTATCTTGCACTGAAGAAGGTTTTACTAAACAACCTGTTAGGTTAGCCATCTCTACCTCTCATAGACACATAACAGAGCAAGTTGCATAAATCCAATTTCTTTAAGTAATTGTAAGCACATGTAAATGTATCAACCACTCCTCTTCTGAAGTGCTTGTATCCTCAGAACAGTGCATTCAACTTAGTTTTGGCCACCACTACTTAAAAAACACCCTTTGTGTTTTTGCAGATAAAAGAAACAAGCTTAGTAAAAGAGTTGATGAAAGCACAGCTGGAAGAAGTCCCAGTAACTGTTTACAGAAGTAGAAGACATTGTTATCCATTGAGAACCGTGCAAGGACTGCTAGTCTTGGACTGTGGCAGAGAAAATGTGTGTTAAATAACTAAAGAAACCTGGAAATTAAGTTCTTGACAAAAGAATCAGTTTCTATAAAACGCTACAGGATCAGTGTCTCTGGGTACATACAGTGTTGCATTAGTCACTGATCCATCAGAGATCATAGGAAGGTTTCAGTAAATTCTTATTTTGCACACAGAATGGATATGAATGCATAGCTCAGACTCAGAGGGACTGTGAAAAAAAGATACAGTACAAATATAAGTTGCCGTGCTAAAATAGAAGTTTATATGGGAATAAAACTAAAAGGAGACAAGGACATATTGGTAAAAGGAGAAGAAAGAAACAATTCCTTTTAGAGATGGGCAAGGGAAATCTTCCATAGATAGAGAGACAGAAAACAAAGGTGGACATAGTCCCATGTCTCCATGGGAACTTGAGAAGAATGAAAGCAGATAAATGAGGAGGGATAGCAGGAAAGTTAATAACTTGCAGAGATTCAGCACAAACTAACTGCTCTGGCTAGAGGAAGTAGACATTTGAAGTCATGAAGCTCAGGACCTACAACTGATTGCAACTTTTAAACCAGAGCACAAGTTTTTAGAAAAAACTTCAGACAAGGTTGTTCTTTTTGAAAAGTAGTAAATAATATATAATATACACTATGAAAATAGTAGAAATAATGGTTCCCCAGATGAATATTTGACATAGCATCAATTCTTATTAGACATGTAGGTATTCATTCATTCATTCATTCACTCTGTCCGTCCTTCAAAAATCACATGCCCAGTTTATCATGAACAGTGGGGGTGGTGTATCTTCCACTTCTCTTGCTTGACATTGGAGGCTTCACTTTGCTCCTCAAGTCCTACTTTTCACTGTCTGAGTCACCTGCTGTATGTCCCAGCCAGGTGTTCAAGCTATGTTTGGGACTGGTCTCATACAGCTGAGTCATTTGGCTATGGTACCATTTCCAGCTCATACCCATTTCACACTAGGCTGTCCTGCCACTTTCATGATTGAAGCATTTATCCCAAGGGAGCTCAAGGCACAACACCATCCACTGCAACTGGTTGAAAATCTGACCAACAAGTTTTCGACTTGGTGATTTGATGAAACGATGAATTTCGTGATTGTTCTAGTAATCTTACTGATGCTTTGGTCAAACATTTTATTCTGAACTTCTCATACAATATATGTTCAATAAAATCAACTGACATATTTCAGAATATTTCATTCCACAAAATAAGAAACCAACCACTTTTTAAAAAAAAACACAGGATGACAAAACTTTTTGAGCTTTGAAAACATTCTTCCATATAGAAATTCTGTACCTTTAGTCAGTTTTATACTGGTGTATAGCTGAATCCCTCTTAAAAAAAAAGGCATTTTTTTCACAAATAGCATTGCTATCTTCAAACACAAGGGGCAGTGTCAGCTGGGTATTGCATCATCTTACTGACACACAGACTATTTTTTTCCTTAACTTTTTTATTACAAATAAAACCTGGTGATACATTCTTGTTTCACATAAATATGAATGTGTAAGTTGACAGAAGTTCTTCACCACCAATCATTTTTTATGCCCATCTAGTTTAATATGAAAATTAATTTGGTTTAGCTATGTTTATGCTTTCTTCTTTGTGGTCATTTTCAAATCTTAAATATCAGAATACTTGCAGAAAAAGCAACTTGGAGGCAAATTAAATAATATACAGAAAAAGTAAACTGCTGACCCATTAAGGTAATTATTTATACCAATAATATGATTGAAGGAATCAAATTTTCCAAACAGGGAATACATTCACTGTTTTTCACCTGCATGTTTCCAGGTAAAACAAACCTATCTGCCCAAAAGATCTGCACATGGAGTTCTGCAAACCAATTTCTAACCTACCACAATTAGACTGAGTTTTATCTATAAAAATATTTAGCAAATAATTTCAAAGAAAAAAATTTATTTAAGAAATCCACTCAAGTAGAAAAGAGGTTTCAATAATAAGCCAATTGGCTTATTATTCATCATTAATTGTGTGTAATATTTCTATAGAAAGTTTGCAAGGACAGGATATTACTTTGGGATGATGACATTACAATTGGGACAGTTCTTTCCTTCTGCTCCACAGTCAGGTAAAAGAGTTCTGCTATCACATAACCCTTTTCTCAGCTATCTACAATGGAAAAGGAGGAGTCGCTGTGCAAAGTCTGCATTCCAGAGCTCCCTATGACTCTAAGTTTCCTAAAAATGAAATGTATCAGCCAAATGAAATAGGAAAGTTTATATTTCCAAAACCAAAGGGTAAATTTATGCTCCAAAATGTAAGCCAGGGTAAAATTCCATCAATACAACAATGTATGAGAGTCTTGAATTCAGGCTAGATTTCTGCTGCCTGCTTTGATACCTTCAATGTTTAATTTACTCTGTGCAAATCACTACTATGCATGTTGTAAGTTCTTGGTAAAATCCAAAAGCAATGCAAGATCAGACAATAAAGAGTCATTATGTTCAAAATTATTACCACTGACAAGTGTCCTTGGATTTAGAAGGATGTTCCAGAAAAGAGATAAAGAAAGTTATGCATATACCAGCAGAGGAAACCTGTGGGTTTCAGCAAGATACATCCTGGGCTCTCAGAGTTTTAGAAGACACATTTTAGTGCTTCCAACACACCAGCCAGGACAGCTATTTAACCCCAGCATAAATCTTCTGACTCTTCATATTTTAAAGGGTTTAGACAGTCCCATTCATGTGCAAGTCTTTCCATTTCTGCTCACTGCCCTTGAAATATTCACCTTGCTGAAGCAAAATGCCTAACATATACATCACTGTATGGTGCAGTCACCTGGTCTCACCATACAAGAATATGATTGCATCACATGTAATATAGTTCTTATTTACCATGCATGCTCCTTATTTCTTCATGGTTTTGAAAATAAGCAGAAAATATCCCCATAGATAGACATAGTAAAGGTTATTCATTTAAGGTCAGTAACACAAGATAGACAAATAGTAGAAAAAGGGGGATGCTAGTTGCCCTTAAAACCATCAGTTTTGGATGACAGAAGTTAAGATCTCCTACTATTCTCCTACTGCTATTAAGTTTTGTTAGGATATTTTCTTATAGGCTAGAAGGCACCTGGTAGCACAAAGTACAATTGCATGTACACTCTACAGTAAGCCTTAAAATGGGATGCTTAAGAAAAAAAACACACGTGGGTAAGATAAGTGCCCCTCGAAGAAATAACATAGTGAAGCAAAAAAAGAGTATCAAAAGAAGGAAAGCACCAAGGACTAGACTATTTAAAACCCTCAAACCATTGTGTAACAAATATCAAATTCTTCCCTCATACTAAGACTCTGGTATCCTCCTTCAGTGTCAGCATTGGGCTCTAGTAAAATTTTTCAGTTGGGGCAATGCCTTACTTAGCCTGCAGTCCAACTGCAAGATGTCGAACAGCATGGCCAATATGGCCAACATACATATTCAAGGAGAATATGTATCAAAACAAGGCATTCCAGATGTTATTTGTTTCTTAGAAGTGCTCAACTTTTAATGATGCCACAAGAGTACTTTCTGAGTGAGGGATAAGAATAAGACCTTCAGAATTTAGCCCAGTGAGGTTTTAAAAGGACTGAAGGAAAGAGAATCACCAAATATATCAAGAGATATAATGAGGGTGAAGTACCTTTGTCGGAGATTTTTGAGTTATGCTTTTGTTTGTAACTATCTGAAACAGAGAAAGAAATAGAGGGTGAAACGTACATGGGGGGAAAGAAGACAAAAGGCAGAGAAGCCGGAAAAATAGAAGGAGAAAGAAAATGTAAGAGATGATTTATTAAAGGGCAAAGGCAAGTGGAGTCTTGCTGAGGACTTAATTTTATTTTCTTCATGCAAAAACACCAAGAGCAGCAGCAGCAGCAGGTGGCAAACATGCAAGTCAGAGAGCAGCAGAATATTTTGCTGGAAGGGAAAAGATGAAGCCCTGAGTGCACTGAGCTGGTAGGACCAGGCTGGAAGCAGAATCAGCTGTCTGGGTGCTACTTACTGTCACAAACATAGGGTTTGTCATGATCATCCTGGGAGGCAGCATCATTCCGTCTCCTGCCACCTCCAGATCCCCGAGCCTGCAAGGACAAGAGGAATGTTAGCAATATTCAGTCACCCCTCGGGTCTCCTTGTGCCCCTCACCCTCCTATGAAAAATGTGCAATATAAACTAAACAAATCCTCAGCTTCCATACAGGTTTCTCAAAGGTGATCTTGACCCTTCACCTCCTAAGATACACACTATGTTAATGGACCTTGCAATGCAATGGAGATCCTCTCCACAGATAGCCCAAACTGTTCATCCATGGCAGCAGGTCACTGCCAGCACATATTCAGTCGAGTATCGTCACACATTCATTTTTGAAGATGTTCAAATACCTTGCTTAACTGAATATGAATGAATGAATAGATGAACAGGTGTTGGAGGATAAATACAAACATTAAATCAGCCAGAAAACAGGCCCCAGATAAAAGAGGTCAAATTGTTTCCTTTAATATTTTCAAAAGGGGGTTGTTTGTGTTGTTGAGTTTTGTTTTCTAGCTGAAAAGCAATGTTTTGAAATGACCTGCTGGGACAAAGATACCATGGCTAATTATAATATGGAGCTTTGGTCAGTTAGTGGAAAAAATCAGGTAACATGGCTACCTGGCTACCTGCAATAACAGGAATTACCCAGAAAGGTCCTTCTGCAGTTCTGTGTTTCTACAGTGGACCAGACTGGCAGCTCTGGAAACTGAAAATCTCTGTTTCTCCACAGCACACACTTCTCTGTCTTGACCTCCAGGGGTGAGAGTGGAATTCAGCATCAAAGCTACTTGGTCCTGATCCTTCTCAGCTGAGATGCCAACAAGGGGACAGCTCATATCTGTCCAGTGGTGGAGAGATCTGTGATGTGAAACTGGGAACTGGCCAAGGCCTTCGATTCTTTCATGTTCACTAATGTACAGTCTATAAATGACAATCATTTTAGACTTGGTCTTTGTTTGAGGAAGTGATCACAGGTGGATGGCTAACTAGCCCTTTATTAATTCTTGTAGCTACTCTATTCCTGGATAAAAGCACAGAATTGCTTCTGCTGCTTCTGTTATTAAACTGTTGATAGTCCTCACTCTAGACAAGGCTACTTGACTGAAATCCTGCAAGCTTTTGCATGTGAAAATAAGAAAGGGACAGAGCTTTGTTAGGTAAAGCTGAAGAAGGTGTAGAAATTCTGAGAGCATTAGTACCCAGACATAAAGGGGGTGTAAAAACTCTGTCCCTCTTCTATGCATTTGGAACAGAACTAGCACTGTTAGAGCTGCATTCCATTGGACATTAAAGACAAGGAACAAGGAAACATTTTACACTGGCCTGACAAAGTCTGTCAAAACAGGGATTTATAAAACCTTCACACATTATTTCCCTGGGATTGCTTAGGGCTAACTCTTAACATAGTCCTGAAGGAAAGACATGGATTTGCAGCTGTCTGGATGGGGTAAATACTATTAGGTATGACAAGTATAACTCTGCCTTCTGCAAAGACCTCTGTGCAGACCAGCACACATGTGCAGAGCAAGATTTGTAAGGGTGAACTGAAAAGCAGTTTCACCCTGGAAAAGGCCCCAGCAACAATTGTTTGGTGGAAGCTACTTTACTGACCATATCACATAAAATCATCTTACTAGTCTGCAGTATTTTCTCTCTGACTGCCAGTTCTGTAAACCCCCTCTGGGCAATGAAATCAATCCCAGGCTAGTTCCTTTCTTCCCTCACTGCTGCAAAAATGTGTTGCAAGCTAAATTTCAGTCCATGGTAGCTCCTATACAATCCTCAATTCATCAGAGAGTCTTCACAGAGACAAGTGTTTGGCCCTTAATAAATATTTCTGCTGGTACCTGGATTAGGATCTAATTTCCCTATCCTACCAGCTGCATTGGCTTTTCAGGGCTGTGAAAAAGATATAAAGTCATATATTTGTCACTAGCCAGTAGCTCTGACTCTATTTACACACTGGGAACATATCTGTTGAGTAAGAAGGTACTATTTTTACATAGGTACCTTTCAGAATAGGACAGCAATTTAAGGTTTGTTGCTCAGAGTTTTATTAGTCTTACAGCCAGCTGTTTCCCTTCAAACTGTTCTCTACACAAATGTAGGAGTACACCATTCATGCCATGACCACATGTCAGATACACTTTTTCATGCAGTGAACACAGGGGGAGATTTTTCAAGTCAGTGACTTTCAATGGGACTTATGTTCCTAAATGTCTTTAGTGCCTTTGAAACTGTCCCATGGGATATCCAGCTGACGAGCAGACAATCTGTACAGGTGCAGCTGCGTCCGTCTCATATCTCCTAGCAAACTACCCTTTCCAGCTCCTACCACAATGTCCTAGTCCAGCAAAGATACTAAAAATCTGCCTTTGTAAATCCACCTCTTTGGCCCTCAGTGTCCTTCCTAATGCCCCCACGATTTCAGAGCTAGCCTTGAGGGGAAAGGAAACCAAGCAGCTGCCCCAGAGGCACTAAAAGGAGTGCCCCGTGCTTGCTGTCAGTGCCCCAGGCTGTTGAATTCAGTTATCCATGACTGTCTTCATTCTCCTGATGGGATGCAGCAAAGACTACAAGACTTGACATGCGAGGCCTGGAAGCCAGGGCACAGCAGCCTTGAAGCAGCCCTGAAGCAGCCAGAGAGAGTAGCCAAAGGGACAGATGGAGAGTCCAGGATTAAAAATAAAATCATGCTGCAGGGAAAAGAAGGGGCATGTGCAATTTGGAAAGTCCAAAGCAGTAATTCCACCGCATTAATCCTGCATTGATGCTGTCACTCCTTCTCTGAATCCCCAAAGGTCACACTCGACAGGATCTAGTTTCCTATGCATGTCCTTCCCCTCTTCTGCCCTCTAAAAATACTCTAACCACTCCTTCCCAGAAACAAAGAGCTGCCCAGGTTTCATGTCCCCTAATTTCAAATCCCTAACCTCAATTCCCTATACTGGGTCAGGCTCACATTAGAAAAGGGCTGCTTTCAGAAAGGTGGTGAAACACTTGTGACCAGACAATTCAGGTTTGCCAGTTTTCAACATCTAGGTAACTTGGCCCTAATTTTGAAATCCTAATTTTTATCACATTTTCCTATGGTTATTGATGCCATCAAATAAAAAACAAAAATTGTTCAAAGTATTTAGCACTCTTCAGACTTCTCTTTTTTGCACTGAAAGAAGCCAGGGCACTAGCAAAGCAGGAGTTAGTTGCAAGAAAAAGGCAAAAGATCCTGCTGCTCCTGTACTTAATAGGGGTCTGGTTCTGGGGCAGAAAATAACACATAAATTTTTTCTTCAACATGAATGGGACATCTAGCACCTTCCGACTCCCTCCGCTACAGTAATATTCTGTAACTGTAGTTATTCTGTAACATTTTCCTGAATGGAGAAGCAACAGTAACTTCAGGACTTTGTTTGTGTAGGTCTAGAACATATGAATATACCAAAATCCCTTCTCCTGAACAGTATATCTTTTAGCTATTCACTTCCTTTCACTCACCCTAACCAGCATGCGCAATTTATGTAAGAGCAACTTATTAGAAAAGAATTGTTAGCCTGGAATATTAGTTGATCACTACAATCAAGCTTGTGTGCATGTATTGATTCTATCTCCTGGTTTTGGTTACTGGTTCATACAAATTTTCTGAAACTTACATTTTTCTGGAAAATTTTTTTCCAGGTGGGGGTCTTTGGCTAAGAAAGAAAGAAAGAAAGAAACTGGTTCAGGTGATTTTGAGAATAAGGAAGGTGAAATATATACTTATCCAATTATTAAAGTGCGTTGATCTTATATTTAAGGACTTAAGCTCCAAAATAAAGAGGAGCAGAAAACTGAAACAACACAACAACAGAAGAAACCAAAAGAGAGGGTCTGATGCATAAGTATATTGCTAGTATTCAATGTGGTTTCATGTCTCTCATTCAAAAGCCATTATTTTCTGCTCATTTGGCCTAAAATGTGGCCCTTCTTGCTTGATTTCTATAAACACATCGAAAGGTATTTCTAGAGCTCCTGTGCCCCTGTAGCATCCACTGGAGCCAAAGAGAGATGATAATGCTCAAAACTTCTGAGAACTGTGTTCATTTAGATGCCTGGCTCATAGGGCCAAAATTGAAAATGTTGATTCCAAGTTTTAAAATGTTGGCCTCATTACTTGACTGGTATCCTGATGAATTGTGAAGACAACTTAGGTAAAAGAAGGGACATAGAGTCCCCTAAGGATAAAATATTGCCCATTTTAAGCAAATAGAAGATTTGCCGTGGGCTCAAGAAGGCCAGTGTCAGCCACAAAATGCTACCCTAGAGAAAGCTGCAAAACTTATTAACATAATTCAAGTTACTTTTATTAATACATTTTTGGCTGTCATGACTGAATTTGTTGCTTTTCTGTAACTAGTAAATGTTGTTTTAAGGAGTATTGTAATAGCAGGATGTTATCATAATTATTACAGTTTACAATTGAAAACACAGCACTAAAATAAACTTCCCTCACTTTTTACTCTCAAAATAGTCTTTTTTGCCTTGGATATTCACAAAAATAAACTGAAAAAATATTAAAAATCTATCACCATACGACTGAAAATTACTATAATATTATCGATATTATATATTCATCGATACACATTTTGCATATATAATACACATAACAAATATACACTAGAAAGCAGAGGTTTGCTTCCTTCCTTTCCATTCCAATAAACTCTCCACCTACCCGTCCTCTAGGCCTGTTCTTTCGTTTTGGAATATCTTCTTCCAAATCTTCTTCCTCATTCACTTCATCTGCATTTTCATCATTTTCTAAAACCCTCTGTGGTTGAACAATAAACAGGAATGGTTAGAAGAGGAGAGGAAGACACATACAACCAACTTCTGCTCTTTATCCCAGAGACTGTGGGTTATTACAGTTGATATAATGCCAAATCAGATCACAGTACCACTACTTCTCTCCACTAAAGCAAAATTCGCTTCTCTTTTCCACCCTCAGATCTCCAGGGAGTCCTTACTAAAAATACTGCTGATATCAGTCAACTATGAAAAAAAGGTTCCTAGGAAAAAAGGGTGGCATCACTGAGCACCAATATCCCAAGACAAGTATTAGTATCTGTAACTGCAGGCCCTACCTGGGAACCTGTTTGCATGGGCTTTTTATTTTCATTTCTTGCACCTTAAATTGTTTTGTTTTCCTTAACTTTGAGAATGCACTTTAAGAATACAAAAATTCAGGGTTTTTCTCCTCAGTATCCCACAATCTTCTTTCTTTAGAAAAAATAGAGAAAATTTCTCCATATATTCCAGAATGGATCTAGAAAGCAATGTCTTTCAAGGTTTGCACTACAGGTACAACTCTAATCTAGAAGGAGGAGGGTTGCTGCATGAGAATGCTGGGAAATTACAGGTCTCACTGAAGTTAACAAGACCAATAGCAATATTTTGTTCTACTAATTATTTAACAGGAACAATACTTCATCAGCTTATATAACTGTGAGATGCCTGGGCCATGGTATTTCAATCCTTTTAATTTGACATTTTGAAATGTAATCTCTATAGAACCAAACACAGGCTGGCCATCCTGCATGAAAACATGCACATGTCAGACATTGTACAGACAAAGGCAAGACAAATCATCACAACACTAATGTTGGAAGAGGTCCCATTGAAATCCTCTCAACCCTCGGCATGTCCGCTAGGAATACAGAAACGGGCAGCAGCCACTCCTGCCATTCATGGTGTTGTGCCATTTTCCAAGGTGCTAATCTGGAATCACTGACTTACCTTTGCCATACCAACATTCATTTAAATTGCAACCTGCAGCCATGATGCAGATTCAAATCAGTGACATTAAACTGATAGGCAGGTTTTTCAATCTTACTGTATTTGTCCCTTCTCTCTAATTTCTACTTCAGAGATATTTGAGAGCCAGAAGAAGGAGAACAGGAGCAAATTACAGTTTCTTTCTCTCCTTTCTACATACCTCAAGCACCAAATTCTGAATTTGTGGAAAACAATACAACAGAAATTTCACTTTTCAAAAATTCTGTATTTGGAAGACCAACTAAAAAAGTTTGTTCTTATCTGATCAGCTAAATTTCTAATACTAATATTGGTCAGTACATTTTTTTAAAAGTACTAACAACTTTTAGAACATGGTAAAGGATCAAGTCTTCATCTGACTTTTGCTTCTTTTATTTTTAAATCTCAGGAGGCTATTAATGAGGTCAAACCGTACAATTTCACATAATACTACAGTACATAATACTAGAGGGCATAAAAGTTAAGCAGGTTCCAGTTCTGCACACATAAAATGTTCCTTCAAAATTCATACAATTGCATACATTAATTGACTTCCTCTTAGGAAACTGAAGCACTTGAAAAACGTTGTACATGAGGAGACTGTAAGAAATTTAAGAATGTATGTAAGAAAATAAGCAAACTTACTGATATGAGTTTGTATTTTTACATTGCTTCCTATCTTAAAGTATCTCAGAAAAAAAAAAACAAAACAGGGGCAACCACATCATATATGGGAGGGAAAGAAGCTAGTTTACAGCAATAATAATACACAAGAGTTAAGAAAAATATTACAAACCACTTTCTTCCTTTAAAATTGAAGGACCAATTTAGGAAAGAGATGATAAGTAATGAAGTGTGAATGTGGTGAGACTGCCAGACTGCCATGACTCTAATACTTGATTGAAGGGGCATAACCTTTCTGATGCATGGTGAAAAGGCTATTCTAACCCTTCTCCAGCAAACAATGGAGACACACATTCAATACCAATCTCCTGTAGGGCAAAATCCTCAACCCCGTTAAATATCAACTGTACAGGAGGTCCCAATGACTGCACAGGGGGAACACTTATCCTTTTTAGCAAAGTAACTTTTCCAATTCTGTCTAAAACTGTGTACTTTAGTGCAGCTAAGCACCAAGTTGTCTTCTCCTGACAGATACTATGAATGTGAGAGTGGCTGGGTCTGATGTGGGAATTACAATTATGTCTATCCCACCTGCTCACTCTCACCACCACTGAGGCTGGGCCCTTTAAAGTTACAGCACAGACAAATATGCAAAGGAACAAAAGAGAGATTTGTGTTCTCTTATTTGTCATACCGATAAAAGCACTGATTGTGATTTTGATCTGGTACAGTGTAGCTGCCAGGTGCCAAAATACACACTGAAAGCTGGCTACTAGTAAAGGCTTTGGCAATCATTGTTCTATAGAACTGAATCCAGATAAGCTGTGCTTGCATTAAAAAAAGCAGCAAGACATGCTTTTTGCATCTGTTCTGGTGAAACTATAACCCAGGTGGACAGGTCACACCTACAACAGTTTAGCTGATTTTTTTTTTTAATTTTATTTTTTTATGCACTCCCTCCCTGCTCTGCAATGCCTGGATTTGTGTCAGTTCCACCATCTCTGAAGTCTCTTTCCTTGGACTGCTGCTGGGGATAATTTGGAAGCTCAGATCACACAGTAACATTCAAAGGAGCTTGTACAATCTCATAAGGATGCTGCACCATGACTTTTTGTGGCCTAGGAAGCAGGTATAAACAGATCTTTGGTTAGAGCTCTCAGCTTGACAGACGCAGATACACTATTGAAGAAGCAAACACAGAGAAGGCCTCATGCCAAGCTTTTCCCCACTCCATGAGCATGGGGTGCTTCCTCTTTGATGGATCTCCTTTACCGGTGTAACTGGGAAGGGGAGAGCTAATTTTGCTGCCCCTACATGTGTAAAATTTCTAGCAAATCGAGCAGTAGGACTGAGCTCCAAGTAATACAGATTTGTTGCCCATGCTCTTGTTTCATTTGGCATGGCACTGCCCCCACAAATTTTCAGTAGTTTTAGGTGTAGATGCAACACGTTGTACCTCAGCCAAAATTACCAAGGTTGGCACATTGCTAATAACTCTCACTAAAATCCCTATAAAAGACTCATAGCACAATGGTGGTTTAGCATCACCAAAGACATGCTGCTGTGGGAGAGACCCACTTTCCTAGTGATTTAAGATATCTTTAAAAGTGACGTGGACTTATATAAGAACCCTTTATATTAGCTGAATTCCTTCTATGACAGACCTACAATTGTATTTCTACTTCTAATTGTTGAAGGATGGAATGGAATGTTGACAAATAACTTTCAAACCATAATGCATGTGAAGAGGCAATATTTCTCATACCTGCATCACTAATAACTAAGATAATTAAGGTTAAGAGATTTTTAATTATTTTTCTTGTATACCTCCAGAAGACTACTTAGTATTGAAAAAACAAACAAAAACCAAAACAAAAACAAACAAACAAACAAAAACTCCCCAAAAAACTGACCCAAAAAAACCCAACAAAAAAACACAAAACAGGGAAGGCAATGACATGTTTTTGTTTACAGTCAGCAGATGTGAATCCAAATTCAAATCCATGTCCAAATTCACTTTAAATGTGAGGTACTAAAATTCAGTTTATATTTGGGACCCATTTCTGCTTGTCAGTTTAATATGTAATTATCTCATAGTGCTCCAAAACAAATTCCAACAAAAGAGCTGTGCAGACACAGTCAAGCAACAGAGATTCTTGTGACAGGAGAAGTATATGAGATCCTGAGTTCATTTTGAGCATCACAGAGTAGCACAAAGGTTTGGCAGTAGAATAACACAACTATCAACATATGCACTGTTCTGCCACAGGACAAAAGACTGCTAGACTTAGAGACAAAAAGTAAAATCAAGCCCTGATGTTAGAGCATGGCGCTCTCCTTTACCTGGATTTCTTGTATAGTGTCTTCCTCTTTAGTGTCTGGTTTTTTCTCTATTCCCTCTCCACGCAGTAAGGCTTCCAGAGTTGTACTTTCTGAGGTGAACCCATCTTTTTTCAGAGGCAGATCAACTTCTGAAAAACAAAACACACTCACTGTATGTGTCTCCCCCAAAGAGCTAACAAGCAGAAGGACAGAGATGTCAAGCAGACAACTAACAGACTTTCAAGCTTTTTTCTGTCTTGAAGGAGAGTTCTTCAAGTTTGTTTAACCACTAAGGATCTCCATATAGTATTCACTTCTATCTTACTGAAAACCTGATATCTTTTCAATTGCTATGCTTGCTTACAGGAAAAAAAAAGGCTGGACATACTGTATCAGGAGGAAATAAATGTGGGTGGGGGAATCCTTCTCCTTTGTGTAAACTCCCTATGCTTCAAAGAAAGAATAAAAAAAAGAATAAAATATTTCAGTATTTTTCTAAGATACTGAAATAAAAAAATATAAAGAATCTGATCTCCCGAAGAAGAAAAGAGTTTAATGCAAGTTAGCATCTGGCACAATTTATACAGCATAGCTTCAACCCTCATTCTTCCATACCAGGGCATGTTCCACATGTGGGAAAGCAGAAAGCTTGTGTGTGGGGCCAATGCTGAGAACTTACGTAGAAAAACAAAGGGATGTGTCTTGAATTTTCATGTAATATTGACTAGATAAAATCTCCAGTTGGCTTTAAATGGGCCTACACCAGTGAAGAAATGCAGTCAGCAAAGTTGCCCATAAAAGAGGACAACACCCAATCACTGCAGGAAGAGCTAAAGGCTGGCTCAGGACCAGGCTGAAGGCACTGGGCTCCAAAAACTGCAGGTTTACGAGAAAGCTTGATACAATTTGCTGTACAAGCAAAGTAACAGAGCCTTATTTCCCTTTCAAATGCTGCTAGTAGATTACGAGGCAGCAGACAGGCAAATACAGCACGTTAATTTTAGCAAAGAGTTAAAATACACCTAGTGAATAACTCAGTTTTCCTTGTAGATCCTGGCCTCCACCCCACTCATGCAGGGGTTCATTCAGAATAACCCTATGGCAGGGAGACATCCTGCACATCTCTTTAGCTAGCAGTGCCAGCTATGGATTTCTCAATTACTCCCTCCCTTCTACAATGAGTTCCTTCCTCTAAGCCAATATATTTACAAATAATAATGTACAGGACTGATGCTCACAAATCAGCATCTGCTGTCCTTATTTCACAGGTCTGTCCACTTCTCATCCTTTAGGACTGTGTTTTGTTCCCCAATATGCCTGAAGCTCCTTGTCTTTCTATTGCCATGAGTTGTAAATTCTGCAGGGCAGAAATTCATGTGATTTTAAAGTCCCAAATCACTCCCGCAATCCAAATAATGAATGAACACTTCCACCTGAGACAGTAAAATATAATCTGTTTCTTGGGGGTAATTGCATCCCAGGAACATGTTTGTTCTATATACGAAAAACTCTTAGCCAGCAAATGATTCAGGGTCCCTGATCAGTGCTTCCACAACATGCTTGCTCCAGTCTTCTGAAGTGAGAGAGCACTGCTCAGCCAATAACCACAGAAAATCCAGCAAAAATTCCAGGAAAAGCTATTCTATTCATGGAGGGAAAGGCTGACTACAAAGTATGCAGAAAACCCAAATCACTGAGATTTTAAAGGAAACTCCCAGGACAACCCACACAATGGGATGGGATCAACTGTGAATTGATTCCCCTTCTCATCACAAGGAGCTCTATTCATTTAGGCCTCTGTTTTCAGCATTAAGTTCTACACACCCACCCCATTATGGCCTCTTCCCCAACTTCTCCCTTACTTGAGCTATAAAAAAGACAGAGAAGTCAAAAGAGAATCATACAGATTGAATTTCCCTGTTGAACTACTAGTACCCCCCTCTGGATCCAGACATTTCAATAAAAAGAAGGCATTTTTGACTTGATTTATGTGCAAATCCCAACACTTGAATCTGAAGTCACTAAGGAATCTCCATAATCATCTCTGGCTGTGGGCTTGGCTTGGTTTCAAAGTCCTGTTCTGGGGTGCAAAAGGGCATTTGCTCAGTATTTCCTTGTGGGACTGCAAAACCCAAGGGGTCATCATACATTCAGCAAGTGAAGAAGCTTCAAGCAAGCTCAAAGGCATTGGAAACAAACATGTCTTCACTGTGACAAACTATGTCTGTCTCTGGATACCAATACATACAGCAAATGAATTCATTAGAAAAGGAAATGAGCAAGGAAGGGCTGAGGGATAAGTAGAACGTATAAAAAGGTAACGCTACTCCCTGTTTGTTCCAGAGATATTGAACATTAAGTTTGATAAGAGGGAAAGGTAGGTTTTAAGGTCAAAAATGGGCAGCTGTCTTTAATAGGCATGTTTGTTCTGTGTGCTGCTGCTACTTCCCAACAGCAACACTCCAGGAGGACTTTTCATCCAAAACTCTCAGAGCTTTTTCTAATTACTAAATTTAACATCTCACTGACAAGGCATTGTAAGGTAATATTTTTATTTGGTTTACTGATGGGGAGATTGAGTCACCAAGAAGTTAAGTTAGTGAGTAAGGAATACGGCAAAAATAAACTCAGTGTAGCTGCCTCCCATTTGCCCACTAAGCTGACTACCATTCAACTCCTTCATTTTCTTCTGCACTGGTAGCATCTATGAATCCATTTTGTTCCTAAATAACTCTAGAAAGTGGGAAATGGCAGAGGTTATCTCATCTGGAATGTAAAGTTTATACTATAAAAACCTTCAGAGGTCCAAAGACAACCCCTTAGTAATTAATTCAATCTTTGTAATGAATTAAATCTTTCCTGGAAGATGGTTAGTCTGTAAAGGATACAGTAATGAAGACAGGGGGTTACGTTTCCAAACCAGTTTTTGAATCCCCAGAGATGAGAGTCTTAAAAAATTTAAAATATAGTTCAGTTAATCTACAGAAATAGTTAAACACTACAAGGGATCATTAAATTCATTTCACAAAATCTCTTATTTTCTCTTCTGTATTTAACTCTCCAGGATTTTCCCAAAAAGGCAAGAAAAGTATCTTTTTCTCTTATGCCTGTACCCTAAATAAAACTGAGAAGCCAACTCAACACCTGAAATGTAGTTTTCATGTGAAAGATCAAGGCTTCTCCCAGATCATGAGAACTGCTGTTTGGAAGTAAGGTGGGGTCTGTTCCACTCACTGTCCTGATTATGAAAGTAACAGCCAGTGCCAGAAGCTTCTAACAAGGCCAGAGGGATACTCTTCTAGGCTTTTTGTCATTTCTTTTTATTCCTCTCCTTTTGAGGATAAACAGTCACAATTTTTCTATGACTCTCCTGTGGGAAGCTTTCCATATGGTCCTGACAAACCTCTCTGAACTTCCTCTTATTACACACTAGTCTTCCCAAGACAGACCAAGACTGCACCCAACATTTTCAGAAGAAACCACATATCCCATTTAAACAAATGAATTATAATATTCTTTAGATTACTCCTCAGGCTGTGTCTTTCAATGTCCAAGCTGCATACTAAGCAGAAGGATTAAGAACCTTGTAATGGAAACAAGAACTCCCATAAAGAATACATTCAAACACACAGGTATTGTATTAAAATGCCCATCCCTCTGCCCACTCACCAAGCACATTCACATCTCCCTGAGGAGGCCAGTACAGACCTCCCCAGCCACAATCACTCTAAATAACTTTGTAGTATGTGCAAATCTTTGTAGTTTACGAGGTATTGCAACTCTCCAGCTTGTTCATTAATACATTACACAACACTGGACCAAGGACTAAATGTCAATGCACCAGATGTTAGCCTTTATCTATAATGAAATTTCTTTCTTTCATTATCTTTTATTCTGAAAGTTTTGACCCAAGATAGTGCTTTGTTTCTCTTTGTAGGCCTATTACATGCCAAAGGTCTTCAGAAAGTCTAAGAAAATCATGAAACCCCCCTATCTATTAGTTATTTCATTATCATATATAGAATTTTAAGAAAGTAGTGAGACATGCTTTTCCTTGGTAGGAAAAAAAAGTTGATGGTTAGAACCTCCTATATCATCATTTCTCAGGTGCTTTCCTGATTATACCCAATTATTGTTTCAGTCAATTTCTCAGATGGTCATGTAGAATTTATGGGTCTTTGAATCACATCCAAATCCTTTTAAAATATAGGTAATAACATTTGCTACCCACTAATTGTCCTAAATTCTTTCTATTGTAACTTCTAGTAAGTATCACAAGCTCTTCTTCAAACGTTGCAATATCAGAGAACATAATCTTTATTACAGGTAATAACTACTAGTAAAGGCACTATAATTAAAAGCTTACTCTTTTATATAAAATTTTTAAGAAGGTTGGTAGATAAATTTCTTTTTGATTAGTATTGCAAATGCAGTAGCACATGGTTAATGTAGGAGATGCAGGAACTAGTGAGAACTATCCAAAATAGAAGTGTCAAATCAACAAAAATCACCAATGAAAAAATAATATGTTATTTAAGAATCCTTCCCATTTTAGTAAACCATGGTATTACTAGTGTCACAGCTAAATATTGTGCATACATTATAATTCAAATATGTGTGTGTGCATATAATTAAAATTTATGGTTTTTAACTTGGCAGAGTCCCTTTCATAGTGATTAAATTAACATGGTTATTTCTGCTTACCAGCTCAGTGCAGCAACCTCTCTATTTATCAAGGTCCTTAGATTGTGGTGGTAGAATCTGAACGAGCACCCATGCCAGCATCATTCCTGTATCTGCTTGCTATTGAACTGCTGCCTCCAAAAGAAGCACATTTTCACAAATCCTACAAAATGGTGGGCTTTTTCAAGTTTTGATTCACCAAAATAGCTGCAAATTCTTGTCCTTAAATAAGCTACATTTGGTTTACAATGCATTGGGAGCTAAGCAACTTTTCAGTGTCTCTTTGAAACATAAATTAAAAACAATAATCCCTTTTTCTATACAGTGCAATGTATTTGTTTTATAATGGATCATTTCCATCTCCACAGTAGCAGCTGCCACCCAAACCATCATCTCTGTGCACTCGTAAGCAGCTCCACTTCCAGTTCTAATTGGGAACAGAGATACTTATTGGGTGAGTTCCAGC